AATGAATATCCAGAGTCCTTAACATAAATCCCAGTTCTAGACAGTATGTATGCTAATGATTTGAAACAAGTTCCTGCTGCCCCTGTTTATCAGTAACACATTCAGGATTGAAACAACATCAGCTTAAGCCTCCAAACTGCATATTTCTAAGGTTTTCTTTTCAGAGTTATCAGGCCCAGCTCTCATCCATTCTACCCAGGGAAACTCTACAGTAAAAAAAAATCTCATTTGTAACAGTTGAAAGGAGAGCCACTTTTAGTGAAACAACTCCAAATTACATGGATATAATATAAAACCATCGTTTCAAGTTAGAGTTAAAAATGTTTAACCATTCCTACCACTGTACCCAGGTCTCATTACTGGACTATTTATTGGAGATGAGACAGTCACATTGCAAGCAGGGCTAGAACAGAAGGTCCATATCATCACTTCCAAATTCCTGGCACTTACATATGGCCATGTAAGAAGTGGTCAGTTCAAAAGCTTCGTTTCCTGCATCTTTCTCAATCACAGAAATACCAGCTACTTCAGAACAAGAACTACCAAAGAGCTCAAGAGACTGAAACCCACACCTACAATGAACTGCTAGAACTAAAGTTGGGAAGCTTCAGAGCATGGCCAGTATCCCAATCCTCCACAAAGCAGTTGTTCAATAAAACGTTTTGTAACTTATTTTTATTTTAGAAGGAGTACAAAAAGATGACAGCCCTTCACACATAAGCAAACCCTAACAACCTGACACAAAGGGCAGACAGAAAAAGCATCTCCCAGTAAGAAACTCTATTACCGGTTCCATCCTAGGACAGCTATTTCATGTGACCAAATCTGCACTCAGAGCTGAGTGCTGGAAGCAGCAGTGCGTGGCATTTGCTCAACAGAAGTCAGGAATGCAAATCAAGCATTCAACATTCCCTAAGAAACAGAACCAAATGACAGTTCTCATAAGGCTACCACATAAATTCAAGGCATATCCGCATATAATGATCATTACGTGTGCAGTTCTGGTTCCCATCTCTCCAGAATGATTGAATAGAGGTGAAAACCTTCCTAACCATCCCGATTGGTCACATTTAAGCATGGTAAGAATTCCACAGGTAAAAACCTGGGAACGAGGATGTTTGAGCCTGAATAGAGATAATATCAAGAAACAGAGATCTACAAAACCACGAGGGGCATAAAGGGAGGCAAGAACTTAGTGTCACAGTTTCATAAGGAAAGGGCAACAAGATTAACAGGTACAAAATCTCTGTTCAAAACACACAGAAGGAAGCACAGAGTTCGCACAACATACAGCCGGGTGGGGAACTGCTCAAGAAGAGGCTAGACTATGGAAAATAGCAATCCATCTAGGATTAGCAAACACACAGACATCTCAGGAAGTACCTGAGTCACAAATGACCACAGGCTGAGAAAGCATTTGAAGCAGATATCACATACACTTGCCCTGATATTGCACTCAGTCTCTGGGCAGCCATTGTTGGTCAGTATGGAACAATAAAATGAACGCCCAGGTTTTCTTCTTCCAGAATTTTGACAGAAGATGTGGGGAAAAACCCAAAAGAAACACTGCAGTTATTTCTTAATACATGCCCTTTCCTGTGAAAATTTTAATAAAAAGCTGTCTGGCAAAATCCAGTTTAAGATCTATTTGAAATAAGGTGCACCCGTAGTTCATCTCATGCAAAACCTTTTTAGCATTTGTATAGCTTTACTGTTTCACAACACTTTGCCCTCCCTTTATAAGCTATTCCATCTTACAGATGGAGTAACGGAGATAGATGGACTAAGTAATTGTTTCAAACTCCCCAAAGAGAAACAGCTATTAGAAAATGAGGAGTTTTTTGCTTCCAATTCTGTGTTCTGTCCAGTAGATTACAGCACTCTCTTAGAGATTACAAAATAAAGGGGATAATATATTCACACAATCTGCCGCATTCAGGGGAACTACTGAGTTCAATTCTGGTCAATACATCTCAAAGACAGAACTGCAGGGTAAAGGGTTCAAAGATAACCAAGCAGAATGAGAAACCTGGAAAAATATCACCTATACAAGCAGAGGCTGAAAAGGTGAGGACTGCTAAGCTTAGTGGGAAGGTAAAAAAGGGAACAGAACAGAAATCTACAGAGAATGACTAATGAAGAACTCCTTTCATCCCCTTCACATAAGGCATATTAAAGGACAAGAACTATTTGAAATTGGAGAAAGAACTTATAGTGCACATAGCTAACCCACGGCACACAGTGCCACGTGATACTGAGGCAAAGAGCTAAACAAGTGCAGAAAAAAGTGGCTGAGACGAGAATGCTGGCAATGACCCAAGTTCCATTACGGCAAATAAAAATACTGAATGAAAGTAAACTTCTGCTGCAAGCCACGTGTCAGCAATCGACAGCTCTTCAGAGGTTCTCAAAGCCATTCTCCAAGGGGATTCCATTGTTTGAAGGGGTTTGCTGGTTGTTTGCATCTTACCTCGCAGTCTTTGTAAACTGACCACCATCAGGAGAACCAGGACAGCCTGCCTGACACAGCACAGCACAGCAGCTACTTTGGCACAAGCAGCGTGCCTCTCAGAAACAACACAACAGCTTTTTGCATCCTACCAGGAAGGTGATTGGTTCTTTCCATCAACCATTCAGGAAATTCCTTCAAAACAAACTTAAGAGAACTTGCCATCTTGAGTTCTGTTGTCAGGAAGAATTGGGGACAAAGGCAAACTGAACGTATGGAAAAGGGGAGGACAAGGGGAGTTCCTCACAGCACAGACCCTAGAAGGACATTTGGCTTTTTAGCTCCACACTGAGCCACCCCATCTCCTGGCACAGCACCTTCAGACAAGCAGTGACCATGCTCCAGATGGCCATCCCTTCCAGCAGCAGCAGAAAAAGGAAACTTCTCCTTCAACTCATTCTCTCTGATGCTTTTGCCTTTTTTTTCTAATATACCAATGTTGTTTTGTGTTGCTGGGTTTTTTGGTTTTTTTTTTTTTTTTTTTTTTTTTTTTTTAATGTATGCATGCTACACATGTATTTATACACAGACATAAATAAAAGCCTGAGGTGGAAGGTTTGGGCACAATTGAAGGATTAATAAATAAATAAATACACATCAAGGTCTGCGTGTATTCAACAAATAAAAGCAGAATTATATAAAAGCAATAGCTAATAAAAAAGATTGCTCTGTGCTGTGTTTTCCATCTTTCCAACCATTATAGGAATAAAATTATCCACAGAGATCGAAAACCTTTTTCAAAACTAATACAATTAAGCTTTATTACACTGTTTCAAGTACATTTCTCTCCTCTCCTTTCTAGCCACCACCTCCCACTCCAGTCTAACGGTTGTAGGCATTCTTCCATTTTATTATGAACAAGATGCTAGTGTTTGAGGGCCAGAAACTTCCCAGTGTTTCAGGAGAGGAAAGAAACCCTGCGCTTCTTAATCTACTTTTTCTTTGGACAGGTAGGAACTCCTACCTGTCAAAGGCATCTCCACAGTTTGCAGAGGGCTGTGAACAAGCAACATTACTCCCTAAAACGATCCTGCACCAAAACAAACAAAAAACCCACACTGCATTGTTTAGAAGTTATAAAGGACACAGAAAAGGAAAACACTAAATACATAAGCCTTGAAGAAGAGCACGATGCAGGTCAGTCACAAGCATCTCCCCATTCCACTGCCCATAAAGGACACACACAGTTTTTCCCTGCAGTTTTGTCTCGTGAGACCAGATCTGGAGAGAAGAGTGTAATGGCAGCACACAGCGTGAGATCGAGACACTGCAAAAAATTCCCTTTGCGTATGAACATATGGACAACTGTGATAATTAGAATGATAGCTGCAGGATTGTTTGCAATTTCACTGAACAATCCCCATTATCTAGAAATAGAATTTAAAATCTGAATGCAGCACTAAGTGGTAGTTTTAATCGTTTACTTTTTAATGAACTGTATAGATTAAAGTGTTGCAAAATCGTATCACGTGAAATTGCTCGTGGGCATGTTTTACCATCCATGGCTTAAACAAACCAAAATGCTGCATGGACAACCATGCAGCAGCAAGGAATGAGAAAGGGAAAAGACGTGCCAGTAGTTTTCTGTCATTTCTATAATCTGTAATTTTCCTGCATTCCATATTCACCATGATGCTACATGGCAGTAGTAAAGTTGATTGATTTCCATCTCTTTACGACCCACCTTGCACATTGCTTTGCATTTTTCAGTCACATAAGAATGAATTGGATGTATGCAACTCCCTGTCAGGAGGTCTAATTGCTTCAAACTGGAGAACATTACTCTCCACATTTATTAAAAAATAAAGACTACTTATAATATTATTTCATTTTGCCAGGAAGTAAAAACTGCATTAGTTCATAAGGAACAGCATGGCTGCTCCTATTTTTATGGCATCAATTTTTAAAAACTCATCATGGTAAACAATTAAACAGAGAAGCAAATCCCACATTTAGGGGAGAGATTCAAATCCCTAAATGGATTTTCAAAGGTCATTTCAGGCTTAAAAGATGCTTGACAGCGTCTCTTCAAATCAAGTTCATTTCAAAGGCTTATCCAGCAAGAAACAGTGCTCTGCAGCAACATCCTTTGAACTGCTGGGCTCCCCAGAGGACAATTAATAATACAACTTTAATTCATTTTTAGAGCAAGATTTGTGATTTAAGAAAGAGAAACCTAACAAGGATTTTTAACAAAACAAAAAGCACAGAAGAATCTAGCTTTCATCTAAACCCCACAATGAAAAAAAAAGTTTGAATTGCTGTAACTTCATTTCAAAACCATCTAGTTACAAAGCGTTTATCTCTAAACGCGAGATCTTCACAGGGCTCTGTTTGCACAGCTCTTTCATTTAATTAGGTACGGAATGGGGGCAGACAAAGGGTGCTGACAGTTCCTGGTGTCAGCACGGTGCTTCTTGGCTCTCTGCTCAGATCCACAACGGATCCCCTTCATACCCAGAAGCCGCAAACAAAGGACAACTTGCCTTACCTTCCTCTCAATGCGCGCCAACTGCTCTTTATAGAAGGCCTCTTGCCGCTTCAGCTCTGCCTCCCTGCCTTGCAGCTCCACAGCCTGGGAAGAAGAACAAAGGAGAATCGGTAGGAGAAGAAATTAAAGGTGAAGAGCACGAGGGCATGGAAAGCACGTGGGATGCAGACTGGAACTCAGAAGATCCACATTGCTCAGGTCTAATGTATGGGATCCCTGCCAACGCAGCTTCAAACTTTTTGCGTTCTGGTTCACTTGGGACTAAACCCACAGGTCTGAAACACTTGTTAGTAACATACTCAATTGCAATACCTTGGTTTCACTTCTCCTTTCTACATGAAAGCCTATAATTACACAAAGGTAATGTGTCCGGACTTTCCTACCATCATTTCTGAAGTCTGCCTTACTTAAGTGCATCTCATGAACCATGACGTTTATTACAACTTCCCTCACGTTACCTTAAAAATAAGCCTCAAGTCCTCCATTTCATAAACACCACTTTGAGTGTCAGAAAACTTCTACAGAGGTAACGCATCCCTGCAATCATAAGGGAAACACCCAACGCAAGGCTGAGTTATAACATTCATGGAGCAACACACTCTCAGACCACACACGTGCTCCTGCACACCTAGTTAAAGCCACTGCCATAACAATTCAGTGCACATCTCTGCACGTACAATACCAGGCTGCACACCCAGAGCTCTAGTTGGATGATACAGACTTGGAAGGAACACGAAGGTCAGAATTCCTCTTCTTTCTTCTTAAGTGCAATGCTTCCAAAGTTTGGTATACAAAAGCACGCTGAAGGCCTTACTCAGTCATCAATTAAACAATGCCCAGTTTAAAAAGTAATAATAAAATTGTTTATAGCAACAGCTTTCGCCTTTCAGCTCTTTACAACTGGCAGCACTTTGCTGCATTCCCACTCCTAAGATGAGTTAGCATTAAGAAAACGTGGCATTGATGGAACTGAGTCAAGCTTTTTAAATCTAAAAATAAAAAGCAACAATAGCTAGAAGAATGGCACTTGTGTTTCTCCTCCCATCCCCCTCCAAGATCTCTGGGGCCTCATAACTTACCACTGCACAGAAGATCTTTCAAAAGCTAAACAAGTAGTCAGTTCACCATGAACACACACCCTGCTAACCTACAGCATCCCAGCAGCACCACTCATAACTTTAATGGTGGTACAATCACAGAAAATGCTGGTCCAACGTGATTAAACAGCTGGGACAGAAACATCCCCGTGGGCTCAGACCTGTCATTTTACAGCCAACAGCCATTGTTAATGAGAAAAATTACATCTGAAAGCAAGTTGCCATGCATTTCCTTCTTTCTGCTCCCCTGCTGATGAACTACAGCAGCATAAATAGGACTAAGAAGAGCCTTTAAGACACACAGTGAGAGATGGCTGATGAGTAAAGTATGAGCACGTGAAACAGAGGTTGGGGGTCTGTGTGTGTTTTAAATAAGTAAAAAACCAACTCATTCTCATGTTTGTCAGCCCAGCCAACAGGGCCAGGATAAGGCACCAGCTCTGCAGACACATCTGCATGCCTTGTTCTCAAAGGCTCTGCTCAACAGCAAAAGCTCTGGCTTTGGTTTTGCTGGAGCTGCTGTATAACCTCCAGCTTGCACAGCAGATGAAACGTGGCAAGGGGGAGGCCAGGTGAGAGATGAGCCATACCTCTGCAACAACAAGGGCACTGATGGGCACCTCCTAACTGCCAGAATTTCCTTTTTTTTTTTTTAATAAGCAAACTGGGATGATCCTTTTGAACACAGATCCACCCTCTGAATGGGTGCAACTTCAATCGAAATGAAACAGAGAGAAGGGACAGTGGTCTGGTGGGTACGCAAAGGACCTCAATTCTCCTACTAATTTTCTGCATAATACCCATAAAATAAGATTACTAGAAAAGTGTTTCATATTTCCTTAAGGGTAAAATATATAAGGAAATGAAAGAAGAGTAACAGAGTGCTGTCCCTTCTGCACAATTAAGATAGAAGTTGCTCTCAGTGTAAAGCATAATACAAGATGAAAACAGTCAAAAGATCAATGCTATAAAACACAAGAAAGTTTCTCCGTAGTCCAAGCAAATTAATTACATGGCAGTGCTACTCTTCTAGGGTAGCAGACTTCTCTGAGAGAACAAAAAAGTACTTACGACAATGCTGGCATCAAGACCTTAGCATACACACCATTCTATTTCCCAGATAATCCCACGTTACCACCATTAAATTGCACGATGAGCCAGAGTTTGCAGTGCAAATTTTTACTCACAATTCAAACATGTTTTCAGTGTTTCAAAGAGCTGCTCAAGCATACTGAGAAACATTCTATGGAGTGAAATATCTGCTTGGAAGTTGCTTCTGTTTCCCTCAACTCCCAGCTGTTATTACCAGAAACTTTAGTACACTTCATGATGATGTTTGAAGTACGAATGCTACAGTCAGGGTGTACATCACTTGAAATATTCACTGTTCCAAACTGGGCTAGACAGCAGGGGACATTTTCCATGAACATAGGATATTTATTAAGACTTCCTCTTGTCCTCTACTCCTCTAGAGTGCCTCCTATTCCCTACCTGAATTCAGAAGCCTGTGATGTCCCAGACAGAACTGGCTGCCAGAAATGATTATAATTTCACAGGGGACTGAGATTGCAGGTGGGAAACAAAGCATCAGAAACACTTTTCACATAAAGGCCGTTAAAAATAAAGAATGGAAGAGGAGGAAAGATATGCATGACAAGACAGTGGTTTGAAAATCAGACATTGGAAAACTGCATTTCTCATCCACGCTGCAGAAATGACATCTGAGCTGGAACGTGGCATGCGAGAGATGACCAAAGCAGGGAGATGACATCTAAGAAACTGTACTGTAGAACACAGGCTGTCATATCAAGGAGGAGTAAGAAAAAACAAGGAGGGAAGGGAGGCACATTGCAGCTGATTGTAGAATATTCAAATGGACTCTAAATTCTGAATAGTAAAACAGGACAAATATTTGCAAAACAGAATGTATGCAACAAGCAATTTCCCTCCGCACAAAACCACCAGATACATTTAGGAAGTGCTCACGAACTCTTTGTAATGAAATTAAAAGCATTGAATCCCTACAAAAAGACAGTGAAGATAAGCTACAAGCACACTGCTACAGCTTCCAGGTGCATGCATACCTGGACCGGCTGGGGGCTATTTCAACTTCTACCTACTTTTTAAATCTTCACACTCTTTTCACAGCCCGAAGTTTCTCGAGTTATCTGCATGGCACCCTGAGACACAACAAAGAGCTGGGGCACAGGTGTGAGCGACTCCCTGCCTCCTCCCCAGCCTTTATGCAGTATCCATTTAGATACCACCTGTGACAGCACATCTCTAGAGCTGTGCATTACATATTGGCTCCGCTGAAGAATCCAAGCACTGCCCTGCTAGCTGACAGCCAGGCCAAAAGAAATATTTTGCAAATCTCTTAATTGAGCTGATGAATTATTGGTTCGTTCTGTCTGAACAGAACAAGAAACTGAGCCTCATCCTGAGCTGCAGCCAACACACAGCTCAACATGCTGTGCACCTGGTCTTGTAGAGCCAGGCTTCACTCTAGCTACGTCCATTCACAAATCAGCTTTGGTTTTCCTCTGTGAAATAACAGCGGAGTTTTGTTACTCTTAATCACAGTTTCCTTCTCATCACCTTGTTAAATGTGAAAACTAAAAAGGAAGTCTGCTTTGGAAGGGCTTCTTGGCAGGGTTAGGTTACAGCAGGCAGTGCAGCACACGGGAATCAAGTGCAGCAAGAGCACAGCCTGCAGCTGCTGGAGACCTGCAGCGCTGCTGGGAGACAGCATGGAAAAGACTACTGGGAAAAAACAGCCCCATCTCTAGAAAGGGAGACTCAGTCCAGAAGGGATGCTGCATACCTCAATCTACTTCCTCAGAAGTAAGTCAGAGCACCTGACAAGGTTATTGCAAAAGAACTTATCTTCTTCTTAGCCAAACATTCACCAGTCACAGAGGAACAAGTGAGATGACACCCAGAGTGTCAGTCAGAGGCAACCCAAGGAAACAAGCTACAGGGATTTAAAAAAAAAAAAAAAAAAAAAAAAGGTCCTGAAGTCTCTATCAGATGCTTTGGTTCTGCAATTGCTGAGAGCAGTCACCAGCTTCTCCAGAGGTGCCCACCAACATCCCTGCAGTAGCACAGCAGAGCAGCAGAGGTTAGGGCTGGGTACCTCAATCTGCCACGCTTCACCATTCTAGAGTTCTTACACTTCATGCTTTCCAATGTCTCTTCCAGTCCTGGCAGCAGTCCAGGAGGCAGGGGAGAAAAACAAATACTATTAAAGGCTCCAAGAGGAGACAAAGGGGTTGACAGCAGTGCACTGAAGAACAGGAGTACGTCCAAAATCAGCTGGTTGGCACAATCCTGGCCAAGCCTAAGGAGAACAGCAGGGCTGACAGGACAATATGAGCAGCAAGAGGCAGCCTGCACACTTCATGCTCCACAGTAAGCAGCAAACTCCACCGGGAAGGCTGTACCAGAGCAGCAACCATGGGGGAGCATTGACTGAACTTCCATTTGTATCAGCAGAAATATCACCAACAATGCAGAGCTGCCTGCAGTCACCATTCCAAACAGGCAAGGCCTACCACACCACTTGCTTTTTGTCCCCTTTCTCTCATTCTCTTGAAGGCTGGTGACTGCTTTCTTTGTTTTAGACCCCAGATGCAGCCTTACAGCCTTAAAAAGCAGTACTGGTGTAACCTTCATTTCCTCCTGTTTCTGCCACTGACTTCACCAGCTACACACACCACCAGATCAAGTTTGGTTTCAGCAGCTGTAAGCTACACAAAAGGAACCAGCGAAACCTTTATGGAGGAAATAATATGCAATTTTCTAGCTGAACACCTTTTAAAATGTAATGACAGAAAATAAAATCCTGCATCTGTGCTCAGCAATAACAATCTGTACGCACACAGTAACAACATGACACTTGGAATAAGCAAGATCCAGACAAAAAAAAGAGCGCTTACCCAGGCGTCCAAATCCTCAGGCTTGGAATAAAGAGAGCGCAAGAGAAAAAGGAAGGAAAAGAGAAGAAAAAGAGAAATCAGTGATTTATGGAGGCCGCCTGCTGCTGCACAATGTAGCTTTTAGTGTGACAAGTTTAGAAAAGTTCCTTAAAAATGACTAGCATCTTAAATAGTGCAGTGCTGTCCCCTGTTGGGAACTGCGCTATTAAAGCAGGAGCACACATCCCCCAAAATAAAAACAAAGCAAACCTCCTGAAGGCTGAGGCAGGATCCCCCCACAGAGCAGGGCTAAGAACAGACAGCTGTGCAGCAGCCAGGGTGTCACACAAGGCACAACGTTATCCACAACACACACCAGAGGACGGGGCAGTGCTGGGCGTACTTGAAAGGAGGGGACCAACAGCCACACATCTCAAACTCCCCATGAAGAACATGCATCTTTTTGCCAAGGCAGTTTGGAATACATAAGTTGACCTCAATAGCCAGTAATCTTCTTTACATGAGAACTTCAGAGTGCCTCCCAACAGAAAGCCAGTTGGCTGGGGGGTTACTCTTTCAAAGGGGATCAACTATTACTTCATGCACATTCCAAATACTTTCCCAAATCCAAGCTGACCTCACCTGCTCCTTCATTTGTTAGCAAGCCAAGCAGATCCAGCAGGCTGCAGTGTTGCCTCTTTTTTACTCATTACTACTTTTGACTTGCACTGTAACCCAGCAGCAGCAAAGCAAGTGCAAGATGATAAACATTTCATGCCCATATACACCTCCTTCTGAAGCCAAGGCATTTATGAGGCTCTCATTTGTTGTCAAGGGCTGCAAGCCCTCCCTGCCTCTCAGGGCCCCATTCAATCAGCAGCACTCTCACTAAGCAGGAACTCAACAAAGGCCAGCTGTTATTATGATGATTATTTATTCGGGAGATGTTGACAGGGCAGGAGGAACCTTCCTCCTGGTCACAGTTCAGTGCCAGAGGGAGCAGACAGCAGAGTGAAATGTGTATGAGATCTGCCATCATTCTGAAGGCACAGGGCAGCTACATCAGGTAAGCGAGGGGTGAGGTGCCACCCACTGTGTGCATTGCCTATCCTCATCATTCACAACAGCTGGGAGGGGTGGGACAAAACATCTCCAGATCAGCCAGGGGAAGCCCATCCCTTCCTGCAGACAGGTTTGATGTACTGACATCAAGTCCTTGGCCAAACAAACTGACACACAACAGGTGTTGACCAGCAATCACTGACCCATCTTGACAAACGCCTGATCTGAATAACATTTCTCTTCCCACTGATTTTTACATCTGGACAGATGTGCTTAGTGTTTTAGCAACACCTTCGCAATAGCAAGGCTGTCCATCCTCAGCAGATGGACAGAAAAAAAAACAGGACTCTTTATGGCATGATTATTTCAGCAGGTAGGGCACACATACCAGCAGCTCATTACTGGATGTGGATGTCATCCTTGGGACACCTAAGCCACTGACTGACACATTCCTGGTGGACAAATACTTCCATGACAAAATAACCACAGGGCAATGACTCAGTGACACTGAACAGTTGCTAAGAAGAGAACAAGAAGAAGAAACTCCTCGCTAAGATGCGATTCCTGTTGTATGCCTATTGACTCTAATGCACAACAGTAGAACTACACTGCTGCTAACCTCAGGGCATTTGTTCTGCCAGTACTGCCACAGGCTTTAATTTTGTCACCTTCGAGGAGGAAGAAAAATTATTACAACAGGAACAGATGGACGTAGTGCAATGAAAGGGAAGAGGAAACTTAAAACAGGTTTTGATGCAATAGGAAATATTCCTGAGCTGAAAAAATAATTGTGCTTGGAGTGAAGCACAGACTAAATGAAATATAATAAAACACAAAAATGAAAACCCTAGCTACTGGTTTAAATTGTGCTACTACTTAAGTCTGAGCCAAAATTTTTAGTAGACTTGCATTTATCATCGCTGATAATAGGAGATGCAGTGCAACCAACAGTATTTTCAAAGTTTAAGTTCACTGTGTAAGGAATTAGTAACATCTGGCTTCCTTGCTTCCTAACCAAACAAATTCCACTTCCAGCTCCCAGTTGGGGGTGTGAGCATTATAATCCCTGCCCTGGGACACAAGCCATCACTTAGCACCCTCAGTCAATACCGCTGGTACTCTTCTGCTACAGCAGGTGGGTTACTTGGATAACCCAATGGACAGCTGAACAAATACTGAACTTCACTATTGGGGTCAAAATCAAACCAAGACATTCCCTTTGACTGTACCAGAAGCAAATGGTTATTATTGAAATGGGACCTGGGGCCAAATCAACAACCCCCATCCAAGGTATTTATAGAGGAAAAAATATGACACGGTCTGCTTAAAGTGGACAGTGGTTGGATATGGGAAGAACAGCAGCAATGCATCCATACGTCTGAAAACTTCACATTTGAACACTGGTTCTGCAAGCAGGGGACGTTTTCCCACCTATCAATGAAGTCATGAATACTGTGTCAAAATAGCATTTCATACTTATGGGCAATTCTCAGCGTTTCCTCTTACCCGACTCACACACAGCACCACCTACACTTCTCTTGTGCCCGTCATACTCTGAAGAAACATGAAAATAGTGGTTAAGCAATCAGAATATGCTTCTGCAGCGGGTAATGTTGGACAAAGGGATGTGCATGATGAAGTGGCCTGAGGACAGGCAACACCTTTGGAACCTGAGTGAAATCAGTCTGAACCTGGATGTCCATCACCTTGCCATGGGCAGTGATGCTCTATAATTAATCTGACTACAGCATGACCAGTGACTCAGGAATTCAGACTACCAGATTGGTAGCGATCTGCTTAAGATCTGAACATGGAATAATTTTATGGGCACTGCCAACTTCAGGAGTCGAAGATAGAGTGGGATATGTAAGAAATGAGAGGCAGCAGGTGCCCAAAACCTAAGACAGCTGTTGGCAACAACTTTTGCATTCATATCGATATATAAAGAGCTTTGCAGCACATATTCTAACATCTTGATGACCAGACATCATCACTGAATAAGCAAAGAGTCATTTCTCCATGAGGCAATAATCCAACTCCTAGCTTTACCATTATGGTAGGAGCTAAAGAATTTCAAGAATAAATATTCAGTACCCACTCCAGACCCTTAAACACTTCTAGTTCAGTGAAAAATCGAAGTACTATCAATATTAAATGTAATGAAAGTCAGGAATGTAACCAACTGACACAGGAAAGTAAGCACAAAGAGACAACTGAACAGCAAGCCATTTTGAGACAAGGCTGTGACAAAACTGCTCAACTAAAGTATACAGAGCACACATGATTCTACAAATATGAAGAAGAGAATCATCAGAAAAACCCTCTGCCCTTTTACAATACAGGGACAACTGCAATTCTAATAGATACAGCACTGCAGAAGATAGGTTTGCATTACTGACAGTTGATAGTTTTCATTTACTACAAAATAAAGGAAGCCTATTTTATAAAATCTAAAGTAAACCATCTGCTTTCATGGCTTGCTTTAATGCTCCAGCCTATTGCCACGTTCTCTTTTCCCATCACCACTTTTATACATGTACACACAGTTTCCATTTTGCAGGCTGCCAACAGACAAGCACCCAATGTCTATAGGAATCTTACAGTGTTTGCTCTCTAGCTGTACACCCAAGATGCTTATTGCTGTTAGCAGGTGAGTCAACAGCTCCCTCTAAATCTTCATCTCCTTGCTTAAATCTCCACTCAGATTGTTAGATGTAAGACTCCACAAGACTTGCACTAATTTAGCCAAAAGAAAAAGAACTCCCAAGAGAGGGCATTGGGAAATTCTATAATTAATTGTGACTTCCTATCCCAGAACATATTTCAGATCCTACTGAGTCCACGAGGTATTTTCTCAAAGAGCTAGGAGCAAGGGCCACTCAACTCCTCCTGGATTATTTCTAGCTCATGATCATTAATACAGACTCCCATCAAGCCAGCCTAGGGGTAGGCATATGGCTTTCTAGGGATGGTACAGGCAGAGGAAAATAACAGTTACACATGCTTGCGTTCCAATCTCATTTCTGATCATGCATTTGGGTAAATAGCTTTCTCTTGCCAGGTTCTTAAATATCAAACACATTAGTTCTTAAGTCAAACATACTACATACTTCAAACACAACCACTGTCCTGTAAGGAATCGGGATCGTCTGCACAATCAACCCATGTGCTTCCGAGCAGCAAAAATGATGAACATGTGAGCTGAGGAGGAATTCCCAATCCACACTTGCTTACAAACACTAGCACAATTTTTACCTGTGTTTGAACAATACATTTTATATTTATTATTTATAGCCATCAACCACTGAATATAGTTTTAATATAGTACTGTGAACCCAAAGTTCCTTCTACAAGATCAGAAAACTAATTTCTTTATATTTAAAAAAAAATTGTCAAATATACCACAGTTCAAGAGAAAGAGAGGTGACTTCGAGGCTACTTTTTAGTACAGGCAAAGACTGTCTTAATTACGTGCTTGAGTGAGAAAATTCTTGAAAGCCTTCAGTCAAGATGATGCATCCCATTTGTCCCTACTGCAGGTGGAGACTCAGACTTTCAGACATCATATCTTTACCCACTATGAGTCCTGTGAATTTCCACCTTACTGCTCTTTCATCCTGCACACACGCACACACACACACACACACAGAGAGCACACTTCATGCAGCATTACAGGGTCAGTATCTTTCCAGGGTAAAATCCAACCTCTGGGTTTGCCAAAATGTACGTGGGAAAGACAGAACAATAAAGATTCAGAATAAATCAAGGGGATTTTGAAGCCATGCAGAAAAGGCCACAACAGACATATTAAAGAGAACTCAAAATAAGTGTCACACTAGTACATGTATTCAGTTATGCTCATAAGCAAAGTAATATCAAAGCAGGAAAGCAGAAAAAATTAAGTAAGATACTAATAGACTGCTGGAAAGAAAAAGAAATGAGAAGTGAAGGACCTGACCACAATCTCCCTCATTTCCATG